TAATGGTTGTATTGATGTATAGCAACTTGAAATGCTCCCAAAAATGGCTCCACAGCATGTAAAAATATAAAGTAAGCTCTGGCGGACTTGGTTCTATGGTTGGTCTTAAAGGGTTAATATCACTACGAAAACAGCTCAATATCTCAGTTCAGCCCAGAACTGCAAGTGGTAAGGGCAAGGCCGTGTCCTCATATACCTCAACAGTCATAAACTGTAAATATCATGAAATAAGGAGAGTTTAAAACTCCAGTCAGTGTTAACTTTCCCTTCCTGATCAGAAACCCTTTAAACTGTCTGTGTGGAACTAGAGAAAGCAGATGAGTTTAAATACCTGGGGACAGTCATCCAAAGCGATGGACAGGGAGCATATGGAAGAGGGCATGGAGAAGTGGCGGCATTGTCTGGAGAGAAGAAGAATAAAAGTCAGTAGAAGCAAAACAGAACACATTTGAATGAGAGAGCGAGACCGGTGTGTGGTCACCCATCTGAAGCAATGGACAGTGCACAAGACAGGCGAAGGCTAAGATGGTTTGGACATTTACAGAGGAGAGAGAGTGGATATGCTGGGCAATGGAGGTTAAAGATGGACCTACCAAAAAAGAACCAAAGATGGAGACTACAGAGGAGATTCATGGACGTGGTGAAGAAGGACATGCAGACAGCTGATTTGGTTAAAGAGGATGCTAGAGACAGGGTGAGATGGAGGCAACCGATCCAGTCTGGTGGGAGCAAAAAAAAATGCTACTACCATTTGGACATCTCTTAGTCCGCTAATAAGAAGAAATCTGTTCAGTGGATCAAGGCTAATTTGTACTTTTCAGCATTCACTCCTAAAACATATTTCAGTGTAAGGATCATGTGTTTGGTGGATATCTGGTGCTTGGGGGAGTGAGCTCTGCTTGAACAGGACTGGAGATGGGATGTCGGTTCTTAGCTGAACCAAGACATTGGAAAAACTCAAAGTTCGCTATTAGCTAACAGGTATATCATGTGAATTGTCTTGTTACAATATGAAGTGCTTAACTCACAGCTTGTAGGGTTTAAAATGATAAACTTTGTCCTGTATGTATAGAAGTTCAGAGCTCGTCCTTGCTTGGCTTGGTTTGTCCTGTCACTTTGTTTTAGAGACTCCACTGAAAGAAGATACAGTCACCTCCACGGGAGGAACTGGTATTTAAATTTAGATGAGAACGTGATGCTGTCTGTTTGATCTGCTTATGATCCAGGTCTGATAAAGTAAGAGCTAGACTCCTCACAGACACAGTTAAAACTCTCCCTATGAGGAGATCAGAAAGGTAATTTGAAATTGAACTAATTCAGCAATTACTGAGCAGTGAGCTTAGAGCACAGATATGTGAGCGGCATTACAGACTGCTGCTGAATAAAGTAATGCACACAGAGTATAAGACAGCTGTGAGTGTGTGTTCGTGCAAAAGTCGACACACTCGAGCCATTACCACCGATGTGTGTGTGAGGCAGGGAGAGGGGGTTGGATCTTCAAACTGGTGACAGGATCTTTGAGGTATCAGACTGTAGCTTTAACTTCCTGCTGAGAGGAGCCTTGCCTTTGATCTGCTTATGTGATTTTGTGTTTTTTACCTTCAGGTACTCATACAGAATGAATATATTGATGAGGCCGTATCACTTCCTGCCTCTCAGAGGTTCTGTCTGTCCCCTGTGTCCTTGGAACAGAACTTTTTGTTTGCTAAATGAATCAGTTTGTTAAATGTCTGAAAATTCCATTTATGCTATATAATAAAAATGAAATACTTTAAATTCAACTAAAATACAATAATATTTTAACTTAAAGAGTATATAAAGGACAGCATACAGTCACCAACTCTGCTGACCTACCTAGCTAGCTTTAGCAGGAAGCACGCTGTTATTTTTCCGATTTAACTGACAACACGAGCTTTCCACCTTATTTATATGGAAGGGAATACTAAATGACCAAAATGTGAGCTCCTCAGAATTTGTTTTGCATTTCAAGGTGATAAGTAAAATAAAAACATAATAAAGAACAGCTTAAACGTAGCATTAGTTTTAGCTAGCTCTGGCTAGCTTAGAAGCTAACATTCCTAGAGTGATATAGCGCACTGATTTAAGGTAGAATATTATCTCTTTAATGTGTAGTTAGCTTTTTTTTTTCTTTTAGAAAGAAAACCAGTCTTATACTGACAAAAGTTGGGGTAATTTGCATGCAGAGAAAATTTGTCAGCTGTTCCAGTTGGGTTGAATTTCTTGTATTAGCCCCTTTCATTACTTAGCGCTTCCAGTGGCTACAGCCCAAGCAGTTTTGTGGTGATAATCTGATGCCAGCTTTTATGCAAAAGTTCTAATTTGATGGAACTGCTTTTAGATTGAAAACCAGCATTGGTGGAAAAAAGTAAATTAGAAGCTCGTACAAGTCGTTTGTTGTGTCTGAGATTTTTTGTAAGGTAGTTCAATCTGAAATCAGAATATCTCGTATTAAATGTTAAAAAAGTAAATTTGTTCTATTTGTTACTAAATTAACTTGACTGTGATGTCAAAGCTATAAAATGTCCCCACCAAAAACTGAAAATGCGTCGTGTATTATTTGCACAATGCTCACCGTGCTCTATTCAAGCTGTGACTTCAATCAAGTAATGTAAATGTGCTCATCATACCCAGCCTCCCAACTAAGACTCTTTAAGCTTCGCCGCTGTAACGATTTGATCATCTTCTCAGAATATCTCCCTGCTAATTAACAATAAGTCTTACGTCATGAACATGTTGACAAATGAGTGTGAGAACTTTGAGTAGTAAATCCACCCCGTGTTTTCTCTTTGTGTTTTAATCTTTTCCTGATCCCCTGTATGTGATGAGGAATTCTAATAATGCAGCTAATGAAAGCATAACACAGTTCCCTGGTATCAACTCTCTGCCTCTTTCTGTTCGGTTTTGTTTCTGCAGCATCTCTTCTGAAAGGCCTGAAGCATGCTAACATCGTCCTCCTTCATGACATCATCCACACCAAGGAAACCCTAACTCTGGTTTTTGAATATGTGGTGAGTCTGCACACTGAGATCACCCATTTGGGCTCTTTATGGGGGGACTGTGGAGGTTTAAAATTAGATCAAGAATCTGTTTTTAGCATTCAAAAGAAAACATTTTCAAAGAACAGAGGTCAGCGCTTATGTGTTTCTTTAGTTTGATTGATTTGATCCCAGTACATCCTTGCTGATTGAGTTTCAGTTTTTAATACTCTCCCGCTAGAAACATGAGCTGTAGATATTTTGATTGGCATACTCTTAGTTTTAGGGCACTTGAGGAATGTTAAAGCAGCTAGGGCTTTTTCCGTTCTTTGCTCCATAGGATGGCAGCCAGGTCCACCACAGCCTGGTCTGTCTGTGCCTGCAACAGGAAGCCAAGCGGGCATTTTATTGGAAGGTCATGGTTTTAGCATGTTTCCACAACTGTCCCGTCAAATACTGCTGGCACAAATAACAGAAATAATATTCTGTTGATGCATTTATGGCCAGTGGGAATGCTCTGACTCAACACTGTTAAAGCCAAGTAAAGGGAGGTTTCTCACCAGAAACCTCTGGAACAGCACAGTTTACCAAATGAAGATCATTAGATTAGCCGAAACAAACTGACTCACCCACAAAAAAAGCAACAGCATTAAGTATCTATTAATGATGGCACATGCCAAGGCAAATATTTGCTGGTGTGACAGTCGTTTGTGGTCTTTATCTTTAAATGGGCAGGTGAAATAATATCTGAGCTGGAGCATTTCCAAGGTCGTGAGGGCGATCTACTTAAGATATTTTTGTTTGGTGAGTGAAAGACAAATCGTGACAGAGTGATGTCTTGTCGAGCCACCATCAGATACTGGTGGGACAAACCTGTTTTGCCAAAACCATGAGTAACAGTGTAGACAGGGCAGAACAAATGTGTGCATCTAACTTTACTGCACCAGGAGATTACCCTATTTCTTGGACCATAAGGCGCACCTTATGGTCCAAGAAACCTTTTACAGAATTTAATTTGTTCTGATAAGATCTCGTCTCCTATTTTTCATCTCATTTTAATTTGTTGATGAAAGTTTGATTTTATTTTATCCAAGTTTTTGTCCTTGTGCTTCAGGGTTAGGGTTTTTTTTAAGGGTTTATTAGTTTTTGGCAAAAACTAATAAACCCTTTGCCAACACAAAACATTGGCAAAAATTATTGGTCCACAAAATTCACAGTGGGTTCCAGTCACAATCTAATGCTGAGTAATACTGGTACTTCTAGTGGACTGGATACTTATAAAATATATGTCAGTGATCATTTTTCCAAATATGGATAACTGTAGTCAACAAAAAACTGATATTTTTCTTGTACTTATTGGCATGGCTTCGTTCTAGCGACATCAAGACCCCGTCGCAGCAAAGAGACTTCTGTTGTGACGGTCAGTGTCTCTGATAGTGTCACAAGACTTCATTGACAACATATTGCAGAGATTTTCATATATGAGAGAGGCAAACGTCCAAACGCGTGTCAGCCATCAGCTGACGCAAGATGGTTTTGAGAAAAGCTTATCTGCCAGAATTCCGGCTGACCTCAATTACATCACCTACACCAACC